TCCTCGTGATATTTTTGATAGTAAAGGATAGTCTGGTCACCCCCCCCCCTCATATAAATAAAGTGCACATGAAAGAAATAATTGATTGCATATTATCTTACAGATCTCATACTGACACAGACGAAGAAAAAGTTCGATTAATAATCCAAAATGTCTGTCTGTTGGCCTTCATTTTCATGACATAGGCTGATGCGTTTGAACAGAGTAAACAACTATTTTCTGCTGAATTATTCAAATTTCTTCTCTAGCTAGCGCCAAAAATAACAAACTCACAAAGATAAACATTATATACAATAGACTTTTTATTAGGTAAGTGTAAAGGAATGAAATCCATATAATTCAATGAGTGATATTTGTGCGAGAAAGGGGAGCTTTTTTAGCTTCATTAAATTATGCAAAAATGAAATTAGGTGTAGGGAAATACGAACGGCATCTCCATATGCGTAAGGAAGAGTAGGTTTAGATAGTATTATGCATTGCAAAGGGAAAGGTATTGGGGAAATGGATCCGCCATCCTTCGAAGCCCTATCCCATACAGCAGTGTTAGGGTTTTATGGGTGAATTTCTTCATTTGTGTATAGACATTTAGAGCTGAATTTTAATATTTCCCCTGATACCTAGGTTTGAAAGCATCGCTAGATCTGATGTATCTATCAAGATAGGTAGATCGGTTTGTCATTTTTGATCACACTATTCTGCTCAAAGCGTCTTTTGTACTAAAGGTGTTTGGTGGGTATCATGTGCTGTGGAACAGGTTTAACCGATTTAGGTTTGATCTCGCAAATATTGAGACGCTCCGCACAGCTATCAGATTCTTTCAGAACTCTATGTATCTAACCTCATACGTGAATAGTCTAGGCAGGTCACTTAACTGTTTCAATTGCTTGAAATTCACAGCACTGTCTTTACAATTTATAAAGTTTGTGCATTCAAATACAAAATATCACAACCAAATAATATTTCTAACGAATTTTTATCTCTTGTATTAATTACGCAGGTTCAAAGAGGACAGATCAGCGTAACCTCTCAACTCGATTCCACTTATAAAATAAGGCAAAACAATCAGTATTTTTAAAACAAATTACTTTTGAATGCATGTAACACAACCAAACGTTTGGTAAGTCGTAAAAATATGAACATTTTCCTATCACTTATAAAATAAGGCAAAACAATCAGTAGTTTTAAAACATATTACTTTTGAATGCATGTAACACCACCAAACGTTTGGTAAGTCGTAAAAATATGAGCATTTTCCTATCACTTATAAAATAAGGCAAAACAATCAGTAGTTTTAAAACATATTACTTTTGAATGCATGTAACACAACCAAACGTTTGGTAAGTCGTAAAAATATGAAAATCTTCCTATCACCTATTTCCTATGTGTGGTGTTTTATTTGAGGTCACATGAAAGTTTAGTAAAAGTTTTTGTTATCAAAACATCAACATTTGATTTGAAAAGTTCATTACAAGTGTGGTCGGCTGCTCGAGAAACTATGATTAACTATTTGAGCAGGTAATGCCCCATAATTAGTATTTATATATATAGAACTGTTTTCATACAAAGTAAATAAATGTAGCATGTAGTTTTAACATTGTCAAGTCTGGGTAACGTACGTGTGATGTAGTGAGAAGTTACTCTTTAATTATCTTGATAGTTTTACTATAAGCCTATTATATGTTACACTGACGTATAAGTGGAACCTCGCCATGAGTATACTGTAATATTGCATTGCTACATCTAACACTTACGTCGTGGCTAAATGACATATTGCATAACACGCCTTATGTGTCAACTCATGGATAAGCCCATGACATTTATATTTGTCACTAATACATGCTTACATTATAATTAGAATGTGTTAGCAAACAAGGGTTCTACCTCAAAGCTAGCACTTATTAAATCATGATTAAACTGTGTTATTTTGAAGTTGTTAACAACTAGAAAACTATCTGTTACAGTTTACTTTCTTTGATCACTAGCATACCCATAGATGAAACAGTCGAAATATATATATACGAATCTAGTTTTCAATAACAAAGGTAAAGACAAAGTTTTATAGAAATATGTTTAAAAATTACAATACTATGCCACCAACAATCATAGAAATCTTTGCCAAACTACGCCAACAACAATTACACAAATCTTTACTTAACTACGCCACCAACAATTACACAAATCTTTACTAAACTACGCCACCAACAATTACACAAATCTTTATTAAATTATGCCACCAACAGTTACACAAATCTTTACTAAACTACGCCACCAACAATTACACAAATCTTTATTAAATTATGCCACCAACAGTTACACAAACCTTTCTGAACTATGTCAACAACAATCGTAGAAATCTTTATTAAACTATTCCATCAACAATCACATTTTTTCTTCATCGGTAAAATCCGAATAACTTTACTAGCGATGGTACCTATTCTAATAAAAATTAGTTTTTATCTATTTTCACAAAAACAAAAACAAAAAAACAATGGTTAAGGAACTTCCCAACTGAATTTAAACCTCTTAAGTATATATGTTGATGACACATCTTATAAACTTTCAAACGTGTTAACAAGCAGAGAACTTTCTAACTCATTTAAACCAACTACGTGAAAATATTTAAATTTGCTGATGAACACGAGGAAAATACACTTTACGAATTTTAGATACCCGTGTGATTCAAGGAAAGCGTGTTCAGTATATAATCTTATCATATATCCCTATCTTTGGAGGAGTATACACTAATTTTTATTGCTTAGTACGATTAAATTACAAAGAAAACCTTATTAAAATATTATTTAACCGCGCTTATAAATTATGAAATAATAATAAACTGTTTTACACCGAGTTAAATAACATTGTAAAAAATACTTTTTGTATAACTCTGCCTAAAAATGTTACCAGCAACACCTTAGAAACAATGAATGACCATCCTACTGTGACTTTTGATGTTCGAAAAGAGAAAATTATACTGTTCTTACTGTTTATGAGTAAACAGTTGTATAACATAAAAATAAAATTGAGAAAATACTTCATACAGATTATCGAGAAGTACAACCTAATTGTATCTTTTAAACACAAAACAGACTAAGAACTGTGCTTCTTCTATATGATAAAATTGATTTTAATGCAGATATCTTCTGTAGCACATCTCTGCGAATGCCAAAGTTGCAAACTTGAGTGCAATGATTCAATTTAAACAGTAATTTCCTGTGGCTATAAGGTCTCTTCCTCGGATGGCTTGAGGGTAGATTGTTTTCTTTTTCTTTTACACCCCTTTTATACGGTTTTTATCATTTTGTATCAATACTTCTTGAACTTGTGTTTTTCTGACATGATGAATGTAAAAAATAACCAAATGTCTGTCTGTTTGCCAGGCTTTGTATCTCCTGAATCGTCAATGTAGAAAAACATTATATATCAAATTGCTTATTTTCAATAGTACATTCAAGAAAATTATTCGCTTTTTGCAATTCCGATAATTTCACATCGATATCAACGCCGATCTGTCAGTCTTCGCATGCCTGGACGGTCAATGTGAGAAAAAAAAACTTGTTAAGGACATAAACGTTTCTTTTTGTGAAGGATTTTAACTAAAAATACGGGACTTCCTCCATCGACTAATTGAAAGAAATATTTCGAAGATAGGCATGAAGGTAAAATGAAAACTCGTAAATAAAACGTTTTTGAATATATATTTGTTGTTTTTTAGGTTATATATTTTATCTTTTCCATATATATATATTCATGATTTTATTGTACCATGTCGAATGAGCTGAACTGAATTGAGTATCTCCCTAAGGTTTTCACACTTATAGAAATGACAACTGTCATTTCGGTAGCGGTAGTTTCTGGCACTCACTAAAATGACAAGGAACGGTGGCATCCAACGAAAAAATGCCCTCATCTACTTAGACAATCATATTGCATATACACTATGATCCAAGGCATTGGTTTGACTGAACGTTTCTTATTTATTTATCACTATATTTAGGAAATTTATCGTTGAATTAATTCAACAAACATCGGCTATTTGTCAGTCTAAAGCATAATCATAAGCTTATCATTCATAATAAACATACCCTTATTTTAGAATTATATTTTCAACCTAAAGAAAAATACATGCTTAATAGTAAACTAATATTGTATCTGGATAAACTTTATGGTATGAAACCAATGACTGGTTTTCATTTCGTCCATTTATAAGTACAGCAGGCCCGGCGTGGCCAGGTGACTAGGGCGCTCGACTCAATCTGAGGGTCGCGGGTTCGAATCCCCGTTCCACCAAACATGCTCGCCCTTTCAGCCGTGGGGGCGTTATAATGTGACGATCAATCCCACTATTCTTTGGTAAAAGAGTAGCCCAAGAGTTGGCGGTGGGTGGTGATGACTGGCTGCCTTCCCTCTAGTCTTACACTGCTAAATTAAGGACGGCTAGCGCAGATAGCCCTCGTGTAGCCTTGCGCGAAATTCAAAAACAAACAATAAGTACAGCATGGCATAAATATGAAACCACTTATTATAGAACTAAAAACAATATTTTAATGAAAAGCATTTTATATATAAATCATAGAAGTGACGATTCTCAGTTACACAGTTTTAGTTACACTTTAATGTATATATGGATTTTTCTATAAGATAGCGCCCTCAAACAGTAGAAATTTGAAGCCAGTCAATGACGTGAATTTTAGTACCACTTAGATGTGGAATAATGATCTCACTTGTCGACTTACTTAGTTTTGGAACACTTATTGAAGTCTGTGTTAGATGGAGTTTAAGTCTCTATTCTCTAGTACTGGTTTTCGAATGGCGATGATTTATAATGCGCGTAGGTCAGTCTCATTCTAGCTTGTAAAATAATTTTGAACTGTTGTTTGGGTGACTGAATAGCGTTGCACTTCAACAAGATTTTAACTCTTGATTATTTGCAAATTTGCTGAAAACCTTCTGGCGATTTTATTATGTTCAGACATCTTTCACTTGACTATCAGCAGTTAGGCAAGTGGAGATCGCTGACGGATATCTTATCTCAAGGTTAAAAATCGCCGTGGACTCAGTTTTTCATCCCCTTAGTGATATCGTACGCAGAGGCCTTCCAATAATGCAGTGGTAACGGTCGAAGCTACTATTGTATAACGGCTGAGATAAATTGAACACGTAAGTTTAGCATTTTGTTTATTAATAACATAGTACTAATTTTTAATAGCCTTTGGTATAACTGTGCGAATGAATATGGTGTGATAATTTTAGCTAAAAACTTCCCACCCCACCTATCTTTCTTTGTCTTCTCAACCTGTCAGTGTCAGAATAATTTTACAGAACCCTGAGAAATTCGTAGCCTTTTATTTCGAAATCGTAATTATTTAAGCCCAATAACCATTTGAAATTATGGGTGTGATTGCTTGCAAATAAACAACTAAATCGTTATTATTGGTGACGCATTATCTCGAGATCTCAACATATTTATTTGTAGTTAAGGAAGCTCAGACTGGAGATAATTTCTTAAAGTTTAAGTGGATTATACGTTCTGTATGTCTGTCTGAAGACAGGAGGTGGATATAATCACTTAATATTTAAAAGTTAAAATAAATCTTAATGTGTTCCTATGCTACACCGGAAGAAATGATGCGAGAGATTTCTTCGATGGAATGTTTTTGTGTGTTTTTTTAGTTATTTGAGGTTTTCCGAAACAGTGTTATCA